CTGAAAGCAAGAGTTACATGATACAGATACTATGAGAGTACAGGACTAGTTGCAGTGTGAACTTGACTGCAGGAAGTCAAGAAGGGCAGTTAAGAATTCTGCCTTGGTGTTCTGTTTGCATTTTCCTCCCAGAGTGACGGGTTCAGTACTTTCTAACACAGCTTGTTAGCTTTGTAGTATCCAGAAAAGTGGGGTTTTTTTTCTTTGTCAGGAGTGTGGAGGTTCAATACCAGATGAGGTCCTGCACCAGAAGTTCCTCCAGGATCTAGGCAAGTGTTTAGAAAACACCTTTCTTTTCTTTGTTCTTGTTGCATCCTGGCTCCTTCCTTCTCAGAACCGCATGCCTGGAGGCTGGACTCTGGATGAATTAGGGCATAGAAGGAATAAATGAGTCCATCTGCTGTGTGGGAAGCCTGACAAGCCTTGCCTGCTTATATGTGAGGCTTCTGCATTCATTTGTGTGTGTGTGTGTGCATGCACACATGTACCCACAGAGGCCTGTTGAGTGTGTGCCTATCTTCTTAGCATCCTGAGGGCATTAACACATGCCAGTCTTGTTCTGTCATTATACAAGAACATAAGAAGTGGTAGACCAACCATAAATATAGTCAGTTCTGTTTATGTCATTGACTGGGACAAGTCTAGGAGTTGATTGTTTTCATTCAAGCACACTCATTGAGTATTGTTGGCTGACAGCCCAGTCAAACATTCTCATATTCAGTGCAGCAGACTCTGTGCTCCTGCCTCACAGGAAAAGCATCTTTGCATTAATGATGTCTTTTGTACATACTGATGATCACACATCATCAGCATGAAGAAGACAGGTGAACATTTCCTACTGGTCTATGACAAGGGCTGTTTTGCTATTCACTGTATCACAGTGGAAGAGGCAAAGATAAGTCCTGTTAGTAAAGTTAAGTGGATGTGGTTATTTTTCAGACATGTAAATCTATATCTGAAAGGGAGTTCGGACTAGATTCCAGGGATATTTCTTACCTCTAGGCCCCAGAAATTTTCTTATTCCACTTTGTTGATCAGGTTGGTTAATGCAGGCATACATATCCACCAAAAGTGGTGTAAGAATGAATCTTCACACAAGACTGTTTTTGGACAGAGTGAGTTCAGGGCCTCACTCCCCAAGAGACAGTATGTTTCAGTGTAGGAAATGGCTGGGAATCATGAAATTCTGGGTGAAAACCCAGATTCCACTATTCATGAATGGGAAAGTAATAGTCTAATGTGACCTTTGGTAAAATTATATAACATTTCTTGAGCCTCCATGTTCTCAGTAAATGGTGAAAATACACATTCTTGCTGGATTGCCATAGGCATTTGTGAGCATGTTAGTAACACTGCTGCCTGACACTTTCTAGAAACAGAGTAAACTCTAGTTTCCTCACAAATTAACTCCTGCCTTCCCCAAACTTGACAACCAAAATTCATTGCCTTTTGAGGAAACTTTTTCAAGGGAGTTTCTGTGCAGAGAACTCCCTGTTTTCTTTTGCGGAGGGAATACCTTTCGGGAAACAAGATTGATCACTCTTCAGTCACTTAGTCTTCTTTTCTCTGGATTGAGTTCTTGGGGTAGTTTATTCCCTCCTATTTCACAAAAAACTCTGTCAGCTCTACAGGGCTGTGTGACTGTGATCTGCATCCTGTGGGTAAAATTCAATATTCAGTCAAAAATTTTTTTCACTTTATGTACTAATTTATTTATTATTTTTCTTTTTCTGAAAGGTTATTTCTTTGAAGGAAAACATTGGTGACCCTGTACTCATTCCAAGTGTTTTTTTCATCTGGGTGCTCTCTTGATTGATTGATTGATTGATTCCCCACCCCAACCCCCTTTAAAAAAAAAAAGCTGTTTTGGTAGCATCACTTGAAGCAGAATCTATCCCCAGCCCCTCTCTTTACTGAGATGTAAGAGATGATATAGACAATTAGTTGCTCATACATTGTACAATTCAATGAGGGTTTTTTTTTTTTATCACTTATAGGTGGCATACAATAATACATTCATTTCAGTTGTATAGCACATTGATCAGAGATCCACATAACTCACAAAGCAATCACCCCACTGAATCTAGTACCCCTCTTCCCCCTTACATATTTATTACATTATTAACCATCTTCCTCATGCTACACTCTACATCTCCGTGTCTGTTCTGTAACTGTTAATCCATTTGCCTTTTTTTGCGTCCCCCAACCCCCCTTGCATCTAGTAACCCTCAAAATATTCTCTGTGTCTATGAGTTTATTGCTGCTTTCTTTGTTGTTGTTTATTTTGTGCTTTAGATTCCACATGGACGTGAAATGATGCGATATTTGTCTTTCTCTATCCAACCCATTTTATTCAGCACAAAACCCTCTAGGTCCATCAAGGCAATATATTTTTCCACCCTCTTCCTTTTAGTCTGTGTATGTCTTTTAATCTGAAGTGAGTCTCTTGTAGACAGCATATGTAGGAGTCTTGTTTTCTTTTCCATTCAGCCATCTATCTTTTGGTTGAAGCACTTAATTCTTTTCCATTTGAGGTACTTGTCGATAGAAATGTAGTTATGACCATCGTTTATTGCTGTTTTTGATACATGTTTTTTCTTATGAAGAAGTCCCTCCAACAATTTCTGTAATACTGGCTTGGTGTTGATAAATCCCTTTAGCTTATCTTTTTCTGGGAAGCTCTTTATCTGTCCTTCAAGTCTAAATGATAGCTTTTCTGGATAAATTATTCTTGGTTGTAGATCCTGGGTCTTCATCACGTCGAATATTTTGTGCCAAGCCCTTCTGTCCGGCATGGTTTCTTTTGAGAAATCAGCTGCCAGTCTTATGGGTGCTCCCTGTAGCTAACTAACTGCTTTTTTCTTGCTTATAGTTGCCTCAAGAAACCACACGAAAAATCAAGTTCAGCTGCCACCAGCGTGAGTCTTGGTGCTGCTCAGCAAAGAGCACCTGACTCGCTGAGGATATACCTGATGTGGCTTGGGCAGGTCGCAAGTTGGCAGAGGTGGGATTTCAGGAAATCTTCTGTGTGGAGCGACCTCTGTTATCCAGTGTCATGATGTCTCAGTTATGGTGGCACAGAGTCTGTTCACTGGGAAATGGGTAGGCACAACAGAGGAGCAATAGATACCACTGGCACTTCTGTCCGGGAGAGATCCTTACCTCTGGCCCTCACTCCGACACCTCAGTGTCCTCCTGTAAGTCCCTGGTGGGCCCCTGTGCAGCCGACCTGGCCCTGGTGC